ATTTTTGTGTGCATGTACCATCAAATCAGATCTGACTGGTACAGGAGGAGATTGTCCCTCCTTCCCCGGCAGAGCATCTGGTGGATTCGAACCGTGCGCCTCTGGGATTGTAGTTGCAGCTCCTTGCCACTAGGCCACCAGAGCTCCCCTGCTTCCCATATTTTCCATTACAGGAACCTGGTGGCAAAGCACATGGCATGTTGGTCTACTAACTGAAAGACAGGTTAGACCCAGTGGCGTCTGCAAGGGAGAAAGATGGTCAGTCTTCTCCAGTAAAGATTTGCCACCTTGGAAACTGCTGGTCTCCTGAGGTGAGAATTACTGGATGATAGTGAGGACAGACCTTTGTATTTGCTCGCAAGCTGAGGAATAAAGAAGTAAAATGACCTCTGTCCTTCTGAAGGAATGGCCGGCACCTTCCTTACCTTGGTCTTTCTCCAGCACAAGGAGCAGTAGAAGGATATCCACACACAGCACGATCAGGAAGAAGATAATTAGGAGGACTTCCAGCACGCTGAGCTTCCTGGCCATCTAGACGGACAGAGACAGAATGTGAAGCAAACCACAGCCCATGAGTCCAAGAGAGTCAGAGCTTCCTGGCCATCTAGACGGACAGAAACAGAGTATAAAGCAAACCACAGGCCATTGGTCCAAGAGACTCAGAGCTTCCTGGCCATCTAGATGGACATAGACAGAGTATAAGGCAAACCACAGCCCCGTTGGTCCAAGAGAGTCAGTGGACCCTGAGATTAAAATGCACTTGTATCTGCAAGCTCCAAACCTAAGCTCACTGCCGTCGAGTTGATTTCTGACCAGTAGTGACGTCACGTGGAGGGCAGAACTACTCCACAGGGTTTCTGAGACCGCGCATCTTTAGGAGAGCGACGGCCTCCTCTTCTGTGGATAAGTTGGTGAGGTGAACCCCCAACCTTGAGGTTTGTAGTTTAGTGTTCCACCTACCACACCCTTGTCAGCATTCCTCTTTGGCTAATCTGGAGATCTCGTTTCACTCATCATGGTGTTTCTGATGAACTTGATCTGTGTACTATGTGTTAGATAGCTCTACACCTGTCACTTGCTGTCTTCCAGGAAAGGGAATATTACCCAAGGAAAACAGAAAAGCTCCACTGTTATGGGTCCATTTTGGCTCATAATGCTTGTATGTCCAAATAGAGGTTTCGTTCTTGTGGAATCTGGGATTAGGAATTCCATATAGATTGATTCACCCAAGTTCTCTTGAGATTAGTTTTGAACCTTGAGCCTTGAGAAGACTTTGCTGTTGTTGTTGTTGTTGTTGTTGTTGTTGTGTACCTTTGAGTTGGAACCGACCGAGAGCTGATTCTCTGGTGGGTTTTCAGAGGTGGGTTTTTCGCACGGGAGGAGACTGCTCATTCTTCTCCCACAGAGCAGCTGGTGGATTCGAACTGCATGCCCCTGGGTTTGCAGTGCGACTTCATGCTTCTAGGCTACCAGTGCTCCCTTTGAGAAGACTAGTTTTCAAAAATTCCCGTCTAAGTCAAACAACAGTCTAGATAAATTAGCACAGAGCATTTTACCCAGTGAAGAGCATCACACTCTTTTAAAATAACGATCTATGTATATAGAAAAGAGAAATGACAAAGGTTAGGCTCAGAGCTATGTTTTACAGTGAACTAGTTATTATCTTAACTGTTATTTAAAAGGGATAGGTGATTAGGTGTTATTGTCATGACAGGAGTCCAGAATGAAGGCTACCTTGGGGGAGGGATTGTAAGACAATGAAAGAATTTTTCTTTTGTTTTTCAAAGAGAAGAGTGTACTGGGGAGGAGGGGTGGGCAGAGAGAAAAGTGCAACAATAAATGAATGGAAACCCTAAGTCTCTGTAAATGTTCATTAAAATTAATTAAAAAATGATTAAATAAACAAATAACTTTTTTTAAAAAAACAACCTGATATATGGAATACTACTGGCCACAAATTGCTTTATTAGCAATCGGTTGGAGTATAAAAAAATCTGTGCAGAATATTTCTTCTTTGGAACATTTTTGAGCACACAGTCACCAGCATAGACAGAGGTCAGCAGCGGGACCCACCAGTCTGTCCTTGGGAGGAAGCTGTGACCAGCAGCTACAGTACAGATGGGCCCTGGAGCCCTGTTGCTATGGTTAGACTTGCAGAGTCGGGCAGAGTGAGGCGAGGCTGGGGAGGGAGAACTTATGGCAGATATCAATGAGGAAAGGTCCAATGAGGCTCATGTCAACGGCCAGGAGAGGACAAGAATCAAACAGAGTAGCTAAAAGCAGACACTACTTAGTCATAACCAGGGGGCAGACACAGTTAGACCTAAGTGTCGCCTGGTCATTTCAGGCTCGAGAAAGACTCATCAAAGGACTGGTGCTGCCAGGAAGAACAGACTGGAATAAAAACCACACGTCTGGTTTTGAACTTCCTAAGACATCGCCCCATTAGGCCAGACGCAAGCCCTGAAACATGCTCAAATGTTGTTGTTGTTATGTGCCGTCGAGTCATTTGAGACTCATAGCGACCCTAT